AAAAGGGAAGTGATATAATTTCTTGAGTTTCTTCTTTGTGCCAGCTGCTGAGAAAATTGTGACACTACGACGCCTGCATCTCAACAGACTAGATTTAGGGGATGTTACCGGGTGACACTTGGAGAAGATAATTTCAGAGCAAACAATAAAGTTCACCCAGGCAGAATTATATCTTGTTTGCCATCTATTTGCTTTGTCCATGACATATCCTGGCACATAGTAGATACTTGATCAATATTGTGATGATGAACACAAATGCATTTTTGTCAGAAAGGCATCATAATTGGAATGCTAGCAAAGCCACAGTGATTTCAGAGACGAAGTAAATACTTGTAGTTGTATAGGAGAGGAGGGATCAGAGTTGGCTTCCTCATAAGCATTCCAACCTGGCTTATGTGTATTTTTATTCCACATTTCTTCTGGAATATTCCAAATGTGTTCCTTTATTTTTAAAACAAATTTTTTACTGTAAAATAGCATTTCATTTATTACACAATATTGGTCAAGTATCTACTATGTGCCAGGATATGTCATGGACAAAGGCAATAGATGGTGAACAAGATATAATTCTGCCTGGGTGAACTTTCTTGTTTGCTCTGAAATGATCTTTTCCAAGCATCAACCGATAACATCCTCTAAGTCTAGCCTGTTGAGATTTGGCAATTCTGGGGGGCAGTGGTAAGGAACATAGACTCTTGCATGAGAATACCTGGGTTTGAATTTCATTTTTGAGTCTTCCTCACAGAGGTGATGTTGGGTGAGTTATTCTCTTTCCTTCAGTTTCCTCTCTAGTAAAAAGTTGCTGAGACTAATAATATCTATCTCCTAGGGTTCACATGCTTCACTGCCGGGCCCCTGGTGCATGTTTGCAATGTTAGGGACCCGTGTTGCCATCCTTTGCATTATTCCAGGAGACCAGGGAGCTCATAATATGAGCTAATATTTATAATTTACTATATGCACATAAATTGGCATTTTCTATTGTCTCCATTTTTTTTTTTGGAATGACATTCAAAGTCCAAAATTTCCAAACAGAATACAATTAGCCCTGCGGGCTCAATTCTGAGGCAGGAGACCAACTGCAACTCCTCCCCGGAGTCCCTCCACCTTCCAGCTGTGTCTCACCAGTCTGCGGAGGCTCAGTCCAGAGGCCAGTGCTAGAGTCTGGGTGACCCCCTGGCAAGCAACCTGAAGGCAGTCACCAAGCCCTGGACCTAGCTCCAGTTCCATGACTGGGAGGGCTTCCCCTTCTGTCACTATGTCCTCTCCCCAGCATCGCTCTTCTCATCTCTTCTCTCTTTCTTTGCTCTGCATTCCCTGTTCCTTACCTTCTGTTTCGCTGGCTGGAATGGCCTTCAGGACCAGCCCAGTGGCCCGCAGGGAAACGGTGACCTCTCGGGGCCGGTGGCTAAGCAAGGCCTGGGGGAGGGGTATTGAGGAACAGGTGGGGTCTTCAGGACATACCCCTTCCCCACGCATCCCCACATCCACAGTCTTGCCTCTCTCCCCTGTTTGCCACCTCCACTGTGAAAGTCTTTTTGTTATTATTATTGTTTTTTTGAGCCAGGGGTTTCTTTATGTTGCCCACCCCAGTCTTCAACTCCTGACCTCAAGGGATCCTCTCACCTCAGGCTCCCAAGGCACTGGGATTACAGGCATGAGCCACTGTGCCAGGCCCTGTTTTGTCTATGTCACTGAGGTCCCATAAGGGCTAGCAGATAAAGGCTTGTAGCACTCCTAGCCCTAGAGAGTATATTCAGCCTTCCAGATCCCAAAGAATAAATCTCTAGTGAAATCAGTTCAAGCATCTGGTCAGCTAGCGAGGAAAATATTTTTTAGCAAGGGGTCAGCCCCCTGGCTCCTTAAATTAGATCACCTCCTTATCTATATGTAAGGCCAACTTAACCCCACTTATCCCTGCAAAACTCCTTGAAGGCTAGGGAACTCTGCAGCGAGCTTCAAGAAAATGGCAGAAGCCTCCTTTGGCTCTGTCTGCTTCCCTGCTTGTCCCTGAGGCCTTCTCTCTCCAGCTGTACCTCCTAGCCACCTGCTGACTATGCCCATGCACACTGACCTTCTGGTAACACAGGGAGAGCTCTGCCCCTGGGCCCTCGGCCACGCCTCTCCTCTTGGGTGAAAAGCCATCTGCAAAGAGATGAGAAGAGGCTTGGGGTGGAGGTTCCCAGCCCTCTCACGCTGACTTCCCACTTCTCTGAGAACAGGAGCTGAGCTGCTGGGTTTACCCATCCATCCATCTCCCTGGATGGAAAGGCAACACCTCAGGGACCCAAGCTGCCTTTCAGTCTTGGGGAGGCATTGGAGGGAATCAAGGGCAGCCCTGGTATTCAGCAGAAGTAGGGAACAGAGCAGGGGCAGCACTGAGGTTGCAGAGGTACATTATCAGGTGAGAGGCGGGAGGATGAGAGTTTGGAGAAGATGAGTCAGGGTGACCTTTGTGACCTTTGGGAAAAGGGAAGCAGATGTTTACCTTTGGGGAATTTAGAATCTTGGATCTTCACCTTGAGCTCAATGAGGAAAATGTCCTCAGCAGGGTCTTGGCTCAGGTCACTGAAGAAGATCTGGAGAGAGGAAGGGAGGGTGATATTTCCTGGTGTGATTTCCAAATCTCTCTCTCTCTCTCTGATTTCCAGGGATCTGGGACCATGGAGAACCCTTCCACATAAAGAAGACCTACTTCTTGGATTTGAGGTCTTGAAGTTAATAATGATCTGATTCATTCAGAGATGAAGAAGATGATGTTAACAACCAAGGGTGTCTGGGTATGTTCATGCTTTGTGGCCTGGTGACCAGTGTTTTTCCAGAGCCTGGGTATTTAATCTGTGGGGTCCTGGGGTCCAGCAGGCTGGCAAGTACCCTTGGAGTCTCCAGTGGGATGCTTACCTTGACTGTGTAGATCTGGAAATAAATGGGTTGGTTGCCCATGCGGACATAGTAGGTGAGGACATCTAGGATGAAGGGGTCCACAGTCCGGGATGTGTCCAGGGAAGGCTGCTGTGAGGGAGACAGGAAATGTGTTCACCATCTCCCCCCAGGCCACTGTGGGAGATGCCATTTTCTTCAGAAAGAAACACCAAGCCCCTACATCTCGGGGATGCACTAACCCAGTGGGTCTTTCAACACATTCCAAGCCTTTCCCACCACCCGATTTCCACTCCCAATCAAAATATTCCTTTCCGGAGCCCCACCTCCTTAAGGAATCTGACTCATTTCAATTCTACAGAGACTATTGAGTACTGCTATGTGTGAGGCACTGTGCTAAGTGACTGGGGGAGACAGGATGCTGGAGAGTGAACCTAATGAGAGAGCAAGGACTGGGTTCTGAGCTTGGATGGGCTACTTGCCATTGGGCAGGCAGCCGTGGACAAGTTATTCAAACTCTCTGAGGCCTGAGTTTCCTTCTAGAGAAAATGAGAGGTTGGACCAGATGATCTGATGTCTCGTTCAGCTCTGGCGGTCTCTGCAACTATTAATAGGCTAATTAAGGTTTGTGTATTATTGGGAATGAACTATGCGTCTTGTTTTCCAGTCCTTCCCCAGTCCCATATGATGATAAAGCATAGTGACCGGGTTTTCAGAATCTCTACATAGAATGTGATAATGATGTCAGGGTTGGAAGACAGCTCAGAGTTGGTCTCATTCAACTCATATGTGCTCCTGTGAGATCTTTTTTGACTTTCATATCTGGTGTACTAAAATATGTTCCTTTCGAAAGGGTCACACTGAGAAGCTATGAACTTATTCTAATAATGCTGTCATTGTTCACAATGTTTTGGTCTCTTCATGTGGAAACTACTTTTGGAGTAAGCATAGGGTCATTCAAGTTGTTAGTTACAAGAAGAAGGGGAAAACCAGAATCTTACAGTGTCTTGGCAGAGAAAAATAGCTACCAGCAAAGGAGCACCAATGGGGCCTGCATCAAATGTTCCTACTGTAATATCCTCCAAGTTTCAAGGAAAAAGCATTTTAATACCCAGCTAAATGGTCTTTTGTGTGTATGCAGAGACATTTTCAGATCAGGTATAATCCAGAAAATGTGCACCCCTAAATATCCTTATTTGAATAAACCCCATCAATCAAATGATAAAGCAAAATGTAGAGCTCTTTGGTAGTACCTGCTGCTAATATAAAAGGAAGCCGTTGATTCATACATATTTATTTTAGTTTTAAAGACTACGGTAAAAATGTAACATAAATTTACCACTTTACATGTCTATTTTTTAACTTGCA